GGGGGCGGGGCGGAGCGGGACGGACAACCCTTATAAGGCTCGAGGCTGCTCCGCTGCACCGCGTATTTCCGCCATCGCTCTCTTTGTCTACGCTGCAACCAGTGAGTTCACGCCCGGGCTTTCGAGGCCCTTCACTCCCAGCCACCAAAGCCAGGACGGGGATCCAGGGCACCAGCACGGGTTTGAGGCTCTTAGGGGGGCCCGGCGCCGCCAGCGCAGGGACTAGCCCCTAGTGGGTCCTGAGCGCTCAGAGCGAGGGGTGGGACCCCAGGGAGGACGGGCGGGCGCGCTGCTCCCCATGGTGCCGTCTCCTGGCCTCTGACAAACTTTCCTGACCCCTCCAGTGCCGCCCTACACCATCATCTACTTCCCCGTCCAAGGTAGGGGTTTGCGACTGGGACGAGGGAGGAGGGAGTGGGGGCTGCAGCCCATGGGCCCTCACCACGTGGGATGACGCCCAACACCCTTCCTCTTCCTCATGTGGCTACTAGCCTATCTCCTTTTCCGTGTCCCGGAGCTCCCGAGGCTAGAGCATCCCATTTCCTGTTTGCTGTGAGAAGATGGCAGTCCCCACCCCCATGGCCCTTCCCCAGGGCTCCGTGGGGCTGGGGTCTCTGCCGGTTCCCACACTCCTGCCTGCCCACACCAGGGCGCTGCGAGGCCATGCGCATGCTGCTGGCTGACCAGGGCCAGAGCTGGAAAGAGGAGGTGGTGACCAAGGAGACCTGGCTGCAGGGCCCTGTTAAGGCCTCCTGCGTGAGTACCGGTGCCCCACGGGGGGCATGGGCTGGGCCTTGGGGGAGCAAAAGTAAGGCGCGGGCAGCCGAGCTCAGCACCTCTAACAGAGCTGTGCCACTCCCCAGCTGTATGGACAGCTCCCCAAGTTCCAGGATGGAGACCTCACCCTATACCAGTCCAATGCCATCCTGCGCCACCTGGGACGCTCCCTGGGTGAGTGCAAGTAGCGGAGCCTGGGGCGGGGGTGGTTGAGCATCAGCATTCCTTCCTTGCACCTGCTCAGTGCAAGCCCTGGCAGCCTCCTCCATTTAAATCGAGCTGCCAAGCACCGGAGGCAACTTGCCCAAGGTCAAGTCAAGGTCTGCCTATAAACCTAGCCCTATGCTAGGCTGCCTCCCACTGAGTTCTGAGCATCTGCTGTGGATCAGGATTGTCCCTCCCGTCCACATTCTTCTCCCTTCTCCCTGGCCTTGGCCCACAGGCAGCCACGTGGCCTGTCATTAGATCAGCGGGCAGTTGTGTGTCAGGAGTGCAGTCACGCTGTCTGCTCTCCCGTGCCCCCAGGGCTGTATGGGAAGGACCAGCGGGAGGCGGCCCTGGTGGACATGGTAAATGACGGCGTGGAGGACCTCCGCAGCAAATACGGCACCTTCATCTACACCAACTACGTGAGCATGGGCACCAGGGGCAGGCACGTGGGACCAACAAAGTGAGGGGCTTCCTGTCTTCCCACCCCGCACCGCACCCGTCATCCGCTGCTGGCCACCTCCCTTCCTCAAGGGCCTGGGCTGGGTCGGGCTCTGTGCTGGGGGCCGGACGCCGTCATGAACAAGCCATGACCCCCAGCCTCACTGCCTGGGGGATGGACCCAGTCAGTTGATGGGTTGTGGCAGAACAGTGCGGGGACAGGAGACATCGAGCCCACGGCGGTTCCCGATGGCCTTGGCTGCGGTGGTCAGGAGGGCTTCCTGGTGCTGGTGGTGGAGAAGGATCTATAGCCAGCTTCTGGAAGGGGGTGCTGGCACTCTCGGGGTGCACAAAGTAGGCAGACATGGAGCAAATTCGGGAACCTGGGACCAATTTAGCAGAAGCAGGTCGTGGGTGGGGAGGGGCAGCAGACCCGGGCCCTGAAGGTCTGAACCCGCCCCCCTCCGCACCCCGCCTGGGAGTCTGAGCAGGGTGGAGTTGAAGCGGGAGGTCTAGAAGGGTCCTCCAGGGCTTTCGCAGCAGGCCTGTGAAGGCTGGGATGGAGCAGAGAACGAAATTGCTGCTGAAGTGGACAGAATGTGACAATGGCTTGGGAGTGGAGAGTGAGCAGAAGAGCTCAGGGGCCCTGGGCGGGCGGTGATTCACTGAGATGGGGCCACCAGAAGGGGGCGTGTCCAGGCCAGCGCAGGGCCTGGGGTGTGCAGCA